TCAGATATTTTCATTAGTATTAATATTACTTTCTACACTAAAACTGTATAAAACAAAAACCATCGGTCCAAATAAAAAAAAAGTATTTCAAGTCAATGCAGAGGCGTCGTTAACCAAAATGCAAATTGTTTGTTAGCAGTCCAAACCACAATGTTATGATAATTTGAAAAATAAGTTGTATACTCATTTAATTTTGAGATTATTTATACTTAGGATTAATTTTTTTAAACGGAACGGTCATGGTGATTTATTAAGAAGAAAAATATAGGTAATATTTTACATAAATTGATCAAGGAGCTATTTTATGTACGCCGAAGAAATAAAAGGTAAATTAATATTACGTTTTCCTGACCACAATACTTTTTTATTTTTTTTTATTTAAGACAAAATTATGTAAAAACGACTAATGAGCAATTTTGTGGCCTATCTATTAAACCGACTTTTTTTATGGAAAGCCCACCATTTTGTCGAAAGGCCAACCGAGATCAGTTTGGGATCGCAACTTGCAGAAACGCAAAAGCGAGAACATGTTTTTAACCGTATATTTAACACTATAGGATTTTCGGCGCACGCAGTTTTCGACAGGAAGAACACTGTTGTTTGAAAAGAAAAGCCTCAAGGGTACACAACCGCAAAGATTTCTCCCCCTAACCTGCCTTAACGAGACCGTCTAGCCAGGCTAATGGGACGGCGACGGGTCGACCCTCCGGCTGCGTCGGCGACGACCCGCCCGGTACCGAACATTCATTTCCACACCTAAAAGGCCCATGGTTTGCTGAATAAGAACTGTAAAACTCGATGGCGAAACGTTTTATAAAATCGAAAGTCTACCGATTCCCTCAGAAAAACTGTACTTTTAACGACCGTGTATGGTATGAATGAGAGAGACCGTTGTTTTTGTTGGTATTATTATTGTATTTTTTTCAAACGGCTCTCGTTTTTATTTGATTCAAGGACTTAATTTGAAAACCAACAGGCACCGATCAGACGTAACATGACCTTCATCGTTCAACACGAAACGAATAACGAACCCGCTGGCTATAAAACGGTTAACGTAATATACGATATGATATATTATACACACGACTTTCAAATTACAAAGTTAATTTCTTAGGGGGGCGTTACTCCGAGTATCGATAAATTTTGTATAGATAAATTGTAATTAAAACATCTCAATTTAAAAAGCATTATTATTGTATGTACTACTATTTATTTCATAATTAACACATTTCAACACATACAGTAACTCACTCGGCTTATAAATTTACTCCTTATAAATGGGGACTTATTTCCCCCACTTAGCCCTCGAACCGCGATTTGTAAGCTAAGTGTGATTTTAAATTAAGCCAAAATGATTTTTCTCAGTAATTATAGGCAACGTATCTACGGGCCGGGGTGTCGGGCGCGCTGCGAGACTTATTGATCGGATAGCGACTCCTCTGCGGGCGCGCACACTACACGGCGGCGTCCGGCTCAACCGGCAGACGAGTGCGTGGGTCCTGTGCAACGTTGTGTGTTAGTAGCTGGCCAAGTGCAGCGTTGCAATTCGGCGGTAGGGTGGAAAAAAACGGCACCGCTGCTGCCGGCGATCAATAATAAAACGACTCCGCTTGTATTATTATCCTGCAGTATCGTCGTACGTACACACTCAACAAAGTGCCCACACCTATTACATTTTAGTGCAGTAGTCCGACGGCTAAGCAATGGCGCGCGCGTGTGTGTATGTGCGTGGAGGGGAGAGGATTGAGGGGTAAAGAAAAGAGAGAATGAAACGCAGAGCGAGCGAGAGACACGATACATACATGGAGAAAATTTACAACGTCGCTACAACGCGGTTGCCGTTCGTTATTGACGTGACCGTGACCGCCGCAACGCCATCATAGTCTACGGCTGTGGTAGTCGAAACGAAAATCGATTTCAAATTAAAAAAATATTATGTCGTTTTTACAGGGAGAAAATATGAAATGTCTTTTTTTTTATCAGAACCGAGTACAGGTGGCGACCGCCGAAAAGGGCCACGGCGTTCCAGCGGGAGGTAGTCGTCGGGGGAGTGGTCGACTCGTTGTCGGGTACCGGGCGAACAGGCGCATAAATTCTTTAAGTTTAGGGCGCAACTCCAGGGGGGCAGAACGGGCGGTTTTGGAAACGCCCGGTTGGGAGGCGGGCGGCGCCGAAAAACGCGCCGGCGCTTGCTGTTGCTCGGCCTGAACTCCGCCGCCGACACGGAAAAAATATACGGTCCAACTATGAAAATATATAAACTATAAACGAGTAGGATGAAATCAAAACTCAAATAATATTATTCTTATGTAATTTAGACCAATTAAACTCGAATCTACAATGAACATTTTATATTTTAGCCGTTATTTATGTTTTTTTTTCATGAGGTTGAAGTTTAAAACATGCAAGTTTAAGCACCAAATAGTAAAAATTAAGATACACGTCTTTTTTCACTCGTATACGACGATTGACAATAATCACTATCTTCAAGGCTATATCTATCTTGTTCTGGTGTTTGAATAACTAACGACCGATTTTTGGTTTCACCGTCAAAAAACCTATAAGCCAACAACGACAACCCATTCTCCCTTTTTTGGATAATTCTAACTTTGATTTTAGCCTAATCAAATATAATATAGGGACAAAATAAATGTTTATGACAACAGGACAACTAACTGTTAAGACATTTGATGATTCAAGCTGAACTTTGATTGAGCCCCTATTTTTTTTCGTGAAGAAAATTGTATATCCGCCAAGTTTTCTATATAACCCCGAGCAGCAGCTTTAACCGGATTAAATAATTTACCAATCCGGTAAAATTTTGATTTATTCTAAAACAACGTTCCGATTAAAGCGCAACACACACACTCAAGACAATAAGTAGAGACTTGACCTTACCCGCGTTCTCGTTCAGCATCGAGCTTTGAATTTTGGAAATGGCCGTCGTCGTGCCCAACAATGAGTGCCGTTTCGTTACAAAATGTAACATCGTTATCATTATCATTATTATTATGAAAAGTAGATCTAAGTACAGTGCCGCCGCCGGTAACCTTATTATCATATAAATATTAATGTATATCTTCGAGACGACGTTGCGTTGGTATATTATTTTTCAACGTTCATAGTCTCACCTATGCAAAAAATTCGATAAAGCACCTACTGGCCGAGACGACGCCCCGACAAACAAAGCGTCGCGACTGCTCTCAGCCTGCAGTCAATGCGCGCGGTCTACTACATTATTGTGTCATTTTATTGTTGTGAAAAAATAACACTAAACATGACGACACACACACACACGCATAGCATAGTCGCTGGTCGCGATTATATTGTGAGCAATACTACAAAAGAAAATTTAAAAAAAAAAACCGTCGGCGGGCAATTCAAATAGGACTAAACGAGACTGGCCAATTAAAAAAAACGCAATAGATACTTGACGTTTAACGTTTGTCAAATGCCTAATAACTTTTTTTCATTATTATTGTATAATTTTGTTTTACGAACGGTAAGCAAAAAAAATAATCGAACCGACCCAAGTAATAATAAAAAAAAATCGTTTAAACGAAAATAATATTTAATCAAGGCCTTCATTTTCTTTGACGGGGGACTTAGCAGAACGGTAAGAACGTGACACGCTGCTGTAGGCATCTTGCTTATATTTTATAAAAGTTTTTCGACGACATTCGACACGGTCGTTATGCAACTAGGCCCAAAAACTGACTAATATTGGGATGTTATCACGCGAATAATAATAATTACCCTTACAGGATAGATATAAAAAAACCAATGTGTGTTAGTATTTCAACTTTAAATCAGACCTGGGAGATCACCGGAGCGCGTCGCCTAACCTCGTGTACAATGTTAATTAACATTAAACCGCGTGCATATATGTATTGAATGTTATGGCTGTGTGTAAACTACTGTTAACGATATCCGGCCAGGGATAGGCAAAGTGCAGAATAAACATTGCATTTCATCCATTGTAATTTTTTTTTATATTCAAAATATATTGAATTATATAGTTTAAACACTATGCATCATCATTGGATCTAGTAAATCGAGACCGTGATTAAGTATGGTCGCGCCTCACTGCACCATATGCTTCAGTGTAAACAAATAGCGACAAGAAATAAAAAATGGCAATTCAGTTTCTTTGTTTTACATAACGTAGCATCAATATAACACTGTAGTGAAGACTGTTTTAATTATTAATTATTAAAACAACAGTTTTGTACAAAAAACGACTCGAAACGTCTAGACACGTTAAACATTCAATTGTAAAAATAATAAAAGTTTCATTTCGGACTAAATAAGGGTCAGGTCGAGAAATTAAACGCAATCGCGTTAAGCGGCCATCTTTTACAAACATCCTGTACACATTAACTATCGCGTATAAACCGCTTTATTACTATTCCGGACGAGGGACCTTGAGCGAATTTTTAATTTGTATTAGTATTTTTAATACTTTCCTGGGTATACACGTTACATCCCAGTCGACTATGATACATATTATAAACACACACCACGTTACTGTGTCCGTTGTCGTCGACTCAAGACATAAAAAAAAACACACCCAGCTGTTGCTGCTTTATATACTCTACTACTGCAGCAGTCACCGTCAAGGTACGCGTCCAGCAATACAATAACAATAACAATAATACACACATTATGTTATACAATAACAGTAGTATTATTAATATTACCATATTTAACGTAACAGTTTTGCGTCCCCCGATAGAGCTTCGAGTGGACCAGCCACAACTATAATAAATACCAAAATGGTGTTTTACAGGAAGCCCGGAAACTACTAGTTAAATAGATAAAACATAAAAACCGCCTTTATTTTTGTCGTCATTATTGTTACATTCAACAGTGTACCGTCGCGGTGCTCAGAGTAAGCTCTCTTATTGTCATTATTGTCATTTGACAAAATACTGACGGGACAAGATACCAACGGGTCTTTAAATAAAAATAATTATACACAATTATGAGCTATGACTTACCTTTACGTGGTACGAGTTGAGCATGTGCCGGGGAAGCCGGTTGAACGTGCCGAAGTCTAAGCGACGGCAAAATATTCCGTTACCGTTCATGGACGACTGCCTGCGTGACAAACACAAAACAAATTATTGTTATTATTAGAATAAAATAAAATGTTTGATTATTTTGGATAGTGCACAGAATACAAAAAAAAACGCCCATCCACCGTCCGTGTACAGTATAGAACGATAATTATTAACGTACTTGGTAACTACAACGCTGGTAATAAACATAGCTGCTATTATTGTCTAACGTTGTAGTTTGTAAACACGCATAGAGCGCATACACACAGTACAACAGATCCTTAACCTAGCCCAACCCGCGTACACGTTGCCTGGTCGCTGGAACAGTAGCAGGCGGCAACGACGCGTTTCCAAACACTCAGTGTCTGGCGAGTGCACGAGAAAAAAAAATATTTTAAAAAAGGGTCTATTCCGCCACGTACACACAGAGTTGTACCCCTAAGAACGGTTTCTAAAAATATAACCCGTTTATTACACGCTTTTAATAATATAACATATTAACATTATGTAGCCAGACGGACGTCAATCATCCAGAGAGCAGGACTACTATACACTATATGCATCTCCAGACCACCTTACACCCGATCACCGTCGTTTCTCAGCGGTATTGTTACCATTTTTTTTTTTTATTACTGGAATCTGTTGAGCCGTTTTTTTATAATGAAATTAACAGCTTAACATAATATCCAGGGCAATAATTATGCATCAGTATGGAGGGGAAGGAAATCTATAGTATAGAAAGATTATCGTTTTGACATATTATTAGTAATAATTTATTAGTGTTGCCGTACAGATAACGTCGACCGGAGATACGACCACCGATGTACAAATATTGTGTAACTTACGTTTATTAAAAGCAAAAATGACGGCGCCGATTACTTTGCGTTTCGCTGAAAATCACCGGGGTCGAACATTAATCTAAGACAGGAAATACTATTTTACACTGTCGAAATATCAGTTATCGCCAAAAAACCAATCCGTTCATGTTTTGTACACGAAGTACAAACACGACAATGGTAATTCATTACAAAAATTATCGGCCGCACGTGTTGTCGATTTTCGTGAGGGAAAAATTGGTTAAACACATTTGACAAAATTTATTCTGCGCGTCACACGAATGATATTTATTTTTAAAAAACCACATCATTAAAAAACTGATACCTTCTTAGCTATCACATTGAAGATGAAAAAAAAATATATTTATTATTACTAAAACTATGGCGTGGAGCATGGGAACCGCCGAGCGAATGTGTTAACAAAAACATTATTCCAATAGCAAATTTTGGTTGATGGCAAAACAAGTTTTACACACGTCGAGTCTCTTTCGGTCACGACTTGCCGCCCGTAATGATCATGACCGTGATTACTTTTTTTTTTTTTTTTTGTAACAAAATTATTATACACCGGTGTTGGTGTCGACGAAAAATATTTAGCGATAAAAAAATCCAACCGCCGGTAAATTACCGAATTACCTCTCCTCTTAACAATTTTTTTAGGCTACTCCAAAATCTATATTCTATAAGAATCATTAACGGCCGCCGTCACCATGTAACTTACCTGTTTGGTCGTTCAAGGATTAAAATATAATTTTTCGGAATTGACGAATGGAGCGCAAAAGAACCTTGAAGAGAGACAAAAAACAACGCCGTTGGTTATTACTTATTATTATTATTATATACTATTGTAAGACCGAAGGTTAATAATGCAGCAAATATTATATCCAAACAAGACTAAAAGTTTCATCAACGGTAAAATATATATATATATATATATATATATATATATTTTTTTTTTTTTTAAATATATTTATATATATATTTTAACTACCTATTTTTAAAACGCATTCTGAGTAAACAGCATAGAAATACTCAAATTAATTTTGTGTAACATAGTCGTATACTTCAACTTATGTAAATATTGAGTTAAACTAATGTAAACGTCTAACCCAAGCCAACAATGTAAATACCAAACGAACAATTATTGTAACCCAACGCTTAAGCTCATCATTAAAATATCGTAGCTGAAATGGTAGCGCCTGTAAACCCGACAAATGTCTAAAGACTAGATAATTGAAATTTGTTTTAGTTTTCACAAACCAAATGATGTGAATTTTTAAACTGTTATTTATAGACGGTCCTTATAATATTACCTATTATAATAATTATGCATTATTACACAAATGATAATCAACATAATTTAGTATATTTTAACAACTAACAGATTTACTATAAAATATAAAAAATAAAATAATATTAACATCATCATTAATCGGTTTTCAATAGTAACCGTATATGAAATTTTAGGTTTAAGCAAGCGCCCGCTTTCTCCAAAAAACGATTATTAAATTTACTGGCTAACAAATTTAAGTTAAGAGGAGTTGGCGGACCTTCAATGTTTTAATTAATAAATCAAACATACAGTGTTGTATTGGGCCGATTTACTGCAAATATATTATTATTATCTTAAGTCTTAAGATATAATAATTTAAACGCGTTTCGAGGGACATGAGCCGTGTAGACGTTGTTTCAGAATAGGTATAAGCATCACTTTTCGTATCCCATAATACAAGGCTGTGGTTGTAACTACAGGTGGTGTTCGCGGGTGACCACATTGCAGTCCAAACGCGGCACGCAGTATCATCATCTCACACAAACAAGTGCGCCATTTTCTTCTTGTGTTAATCGTAAATCGTATATTAAAAGAATACTTGACGGGTGCATCGCTGGGTTGACCGTTAGGTTAATAAAAACGATGATCATAAGAAAATAATAAAACGGCGCAAAAGAAACCCGGCAGTGCCACAAAACACCACCAGCTGCCGGTCCTGGGAATAACATTAATAACCACCGGGTCGTCATCAGAGTTTGTGAGCACGTAAAAAATAACAACAATACTCAAATGAAAAATAATATACAAGATTATCGCTTTCCATAGTTACTTGGCAACACTGCACTGATTTGAGGTTAGGTAACCAAGTCGGCCGGTAAGGACGAGTAGTCACGTCCCGCACATGGTCTCGAGCGACCGCCATGAAATAAACTAGTCAGTATAAGAATTATGAAGCACACCTTTTTAATAGTCTTGTCATTTCGACACCACTTTTTATCTGCTATATAGAAAAAAAAAATGTATTATAATATTATTTAAACGCCGAGCACAGGATATTCTATTCTATGATTAAGATCTACGATTCCGCCCGTGTGTGAGTGGACAAACGGTATATTATAATTATATGTAGGACTCGCGCTCTCGCAATATCAATGCAATCTAATCTAACTTGGTATGCTTGATAGATTAGGAGTCGTTTGACTGAAAGAAAAAAATCCTTTATAACCCATGGACAAATGAAAAAAAGACCTACGGGTCGGCGAGGCGGTCCAGACCAAAAGAACCTACGACGTCAAAACAGGTGCACGTGTCCCCGCAGCAGTTGTAGTCTGTACTACTGATAGAATTTAAAATTAGAGGGGAAGGTCCGAACCCGACGCTGTACTGTTCGTTCTAATTCGTCGTCATATCACAATAATAATTCGGAGGCGGCTGTAACGATAACAATAACAAAATAAAAATTGAATAAATTGCAAGACGCAAAATAATATTTTTGTGAGAATGCGAGAAATACCGATTACACATGGCCGACACATAATGTCGATCGTTATTCTCCTTTTCCTCATCTTCCAACGAAAACATGTTGTTTACAGAATAGCTAATGCAATAAAATATAATATGTAGTTTCCACACACCTCGCAAATAGAATAGACCTGCCTACAACCAACGCACGACAAAATAATAACAGTGATTAACGTAGTGAAATTAAAATCGATAAAAACCCATCAAGTGGTTTTAAATATTTTCATTAAATTAAATTTATTTTAAGTAATATATGACAATCCAAGCATTATATGCTTAACGTTTTGTATTAAAATATAGTTTAGAATATTCATAATAGATAAGCGAAAACGCACAAATGCAATGGTTTGAAACGTTATTTATAGACAGGACTTCTCAATAATATTCTAATTCCATAGCGATAAATCCCTACGCTATGCAGAAAACTAAAATTATAGATAATCTTCATTTAAAGAAAAAATTAGACCTTGTTCATAAGGAGAACGGAAAGGAACAATTATACACATTTTGAGACTAAAACACAAAAAATCATTCCTGTGTACGGAACAGATTAAAAAAAAATTTGTTTTTAAGTTCAAGATCTCTAAGGGACCTCAGGCTGGTTTTTTTATTTTAATTTTTCAAATTTAATTTTAAACGTTTATATTTATAATTTATTATAGTGTTCTTTATAAATATAAATAATTTTCCAATAATTAAAAAATGTGCTTTTTGTCGGCATTGAAAGCGTAGGAAGTTTTCCATTAACAAATTTTAATAGATACGCCAGGAAATGACTACGAAAGTACGGTTTCTCGACGTAACTGAAAAAAACAACTAAAAAGTATTGTGACTAGAAAACCTTAAATTTATTTACCTCCCATTAGATGGCAATTTGAAATTATCAGACAAAAAGTGCCGCATATCGTTTGCCCCTAAATAAATAAAGAATAGCATTTTCCGTTTCCCATAAGCCACACTTCATCGCGAGTGTTGACTTTGAGAATTGTCGTAGAGAAATAAATTTAAAAGCTTTGGGTTAATGAAATAAATACGTGCGAGGCGGATGGGACACGCGGGGCTACAACGGTTTTATTATCGTGAATAAAGGTCAAAATTACCATACGAAGCCTATATACATATAAAAACGTGGGCGAGCTAATAATGTAAAAAACCTTGAAAACCAAAAGTGCGACCGCCGCTCTATCAGACGATATTCTACACATATACTAATTATAATCACAAAAAAATATATGTATATATTTATATATTATACAAACGGACGGTATTTCTTTTTTTTTTGTCCGTCGCGTCGGCTCGTTTAACACGAGTCTATAGAATAATAATAATACATTAAATGGTTCGATGATAATTGGCTAACCTAATAATAACAATAATATATTAAAAAAAGGTAAAAATTACTTAATAAAAACAAACAAATACAACGAGAAGCGACCAGTCAAGGACGACCGGTTGCTGATTTGCCAAGGGAAAAAATCTACCAAGATAATAATGGCGACGGGTAGAGGCGGAGTGTGAAAAAAAACGGGTAGAGACCTGCGGACAGAGAGATGCTGAATTTCCACAGCAAGAGGTCTTCTGAGAAACCGGGCGCGTTCCGGTAAACACTACCCGGTATAAGGGTGGTTCGGGAAAAGAATAAAACGAACCGTGTAGGTCAGTGGGATGTGCGTGTGTGTGCACCATTAATGGATTCTTCGGCGTTACCTATTATCGAGGATTCCGGGGGTGTATTGATGGTGGGAGTCGCCTAAAACCGACAATGAGAAAAAAGGTCGATTTTCGGGGCGTAAGCCAGAAGATGATACGCACAGTGGACATGGAGTTAAAGACCACACGTTGCATATTTTCATGTATAGGTGATATTATCATAAAACGTGATACAGTTTTTAGCGCGGTACAACGACCGCTGGCCGACAACAACGTACTTTTCGACGGAATCAGAGATGCAAAGACGGGGACGGAAGCGATATCCCCTCACGTTGCCAAAAAAAAACTACACAAATAGATTGTTGATAAAATTAAATGAAAAAACCCTATCCACAAAAATATTCACAGCTTACGTACAAGCCATGAACGTGACAGCATCGTGACGCCGAAACACGAATTCTTATTAAAGTGAATATACTTTTGTGGATAAGGTCAATATTTAAATAGTCAACAAGTGACTTAACTTTTAATTAAATTTTTTATTGTTTAAAACTAGAAATATTACTCGTCGTACTCATTAAACGTGTATTGTTACTCAATAATTATTATGAGTTGTATATATTAAGTACATTCAACACTGTGCTTATGTAATTTGTATAGTTCATTACTGTTAATCGATAGACGGTTTGTTTAATCATAAACAATGGAAATTTAATTAAATCGATACACACGAATATTTTTAGTTTTATATAATCGGTATTCACGACTAGAAAAATAATAACAAAATGGTTTCCGAACAACGTTGGAATTGACACTTTCAGACAATGTTTAATTTAGAAATATAAAATTGTAAATTTCATTATTAGACCATTGAGAACAACAACGTTCGCTCTACCAACAGAGATCAGACGCGAAAACTAATTCAGTATACGATTATTGCCATTAGGTCACCCCGCCCGGTCCACTTGTCATAATAATAATAACAGCAATCATTATGTATATATATATAGCTGTTGCATGGGAAACTCGGACTCGAGAAAGGGAGAGGCGGCGGTGGTCGTACGGTAGCGTGACGGATATTTCAAGGTTGCAATTCACTTTATTTTATGTGGTTCTCTAGTTGCTCATCCGATTTTTATCAGACGGCGGTGGTGGCGGCGGCTCCCTAACCGCATTCAAAACACACCGCCGTCGGTGATTCGCGGTTTTTTTTCCTAACCTAACCTAGTAAATACTATATTATAACGCGCAACACCAACGTTACAACAACGCAATAACACATCCAGTCCACCAAACCTAGGAATGCCTAACACATCCAAGACAATTGAATAAAGTAATAATAATTACAACAATATATTGACATCCATGATTAACCACAACTCGACGAGTATAAGCGCCCTCCTGATTTTCAATTAATTATTAATTGTGATGAAGTACTAATGAATAATTTTCAATATTTATCGAATTTAAACGAGTCCAAAAACTCGGATTCGTGAAAACGATAATTTTACGTGTGCGATACCAATTGGGAAACAAACAACTTCTATTAACAACTATTTTGTGATGGATATTGGTTGATATTTTGCCTACCTATCCCTGTCGAGTGCAGCAGACATATTAAAAAAAACTATAGGGTGGCGGCGGTGGTGGTTTAATTAAATCGCCATATTTTAACGGACTCGTCAACACATATACACACACATTATACGGTGATATGTTTCGAGGGTGGAAAAAAGCATAGAAAAATGCTGTTCCCGCGCACAAGACTGCAATCACCGTGGGTTATAGTGTTGACCCCCTCGACTGAAAAGAACACACTGAAGGCCAGTAATTAAATATTTCGAATATGTTTATACACCGTTGTTTTTTTTAACGATTGTAAAAAAAATCCCAAAACCAAGCACCATGCGTCACACCGTCGGGCTATTTCCCATTTTCGGCATTCCGCGACAATAGTAATTAAAACAGTTAATTTAAAAAAAAAAAAAACAAAAACAAAATAAAATTTAAACCGGGTAAATCTGGTTCGACTTCCCTCGAACAGCAGAACGACGGTGGTGGTCAAGCGGACAAGTGTTGACGGGGACGGTGTTAACGCGGGAAGTTTTTTTTTACTCCTAGGGGAATATCCACGACATTTGGTTTTGTTTTTTACTTAAAACGCGACGACGATCTGGGGACAAAAACGCGCGCTGTTAAAATAAATAAGAACTAAAAGTTATTTATTTTCCCCGACAGGCGCCAAACGGTGTTGTACGTACCTACCAAATATTATTATCGGTTTGGTTGGTTTGTTTCTTCGTGTAAAAAAAATCTCGGGAAAAAAATACCGCGAAATCGTACAAGAAAAATAAACAGATCTCCGACTGGTTTTGTTATTGTAGAAGCCAAACAAAATATATGTATTGTACGTTTACGGTTTAACGGCCGTTCGAAAAACCGCGGCGCCGGCAATCGGTATCATTAATATTATTATTACTATGGTCGGTTTTTGTAAAAACGCTTTTAAGATGAGTTATAATAATTATTATCATTATTAAACTAGGATGGGTGATTTATCGGTTAAACGTCGGATGCCGGCACGACTCGCACGAGTATGACCGGTCGCGACAACAAAGGAACTTGAAAAAACACTATTTTAGTGTATAATAATATTATGGTCGCCGTGCACCTAGACGACCTTCGATGATTCGGTCGCCGGACAAACGTTTTTATCTTGGCAAGGACCAAACGTAAAAACAAAGCAACTGAAAACCCACGTGTCGAAAAAGACACACATAGGTTTACATTTCTATTTTAAATAATTCCAGAAGTGGGATAATCGATTCACGATTAACAACATAAATATTATACAAACTATTCGATATCATATTTAACTTTATAATCCTAAAGGATAAAAGAAGGAATTATGTTGATTTTGTTAAAATAAATTATCATTAAGACCATGCAAGATATAATATTCTGTATTTAAATAACAAACAATTCAAAAAAAAGTATTGTATACAAGGGAAAAAAATGACTCATTATTTACTCCAAATTATTCCCTAAATTTAGACAGTAGTTACTAACTACCAAAGATATTGGAAATTATAATCAACTAAAGCTAATGCCATCACAAGACATCTATACATTTCTACTTACGGTATAACCTGGTTTGTTTTTGAAGAATATAACAATAAGAATATGATCGGTAAATTAACTTATTAAGTAAATTTATTAATGCCCATGTTGAATACAGAGTTGTTAACAAAAAATACATTTTACACTAGTAATTATAAAATTTGACATGCATTACTATTTACTAGTGTTTTTTTGGTATAAATTAAATAGGAAACATTTTAAGTATGCTATTTACATTTCGATCACTTCCAGTTTGGCATTAAAATCTTGTCGATCGTCTAACATAAGTGTTGCAAACATTAATCGTTTACAACTTTTTGATTTATAATTTAGATTAGGCGATTTGTTTGATCAAAAAAATGATTCTACCTCGTACACATGTGTTTTTAGATTGGAGTTTTCAGTAAACGTTACGAAACGCCGGTTACTAACTTTTAAGAACGAGGGTGAAATCCTTAACCCTATTCGGCCTCCCTAAAGAACACACGCGGTGCCGACGTGCACCACGCCGGTTCGTTTGAACGTGTGTAACGTTTGGCTGCCGTGGGCAAATATTTTCCCAGTACACAACGTGGGTTATCATACAAAAAATTCCTATAAAACTTCATTTGTCATCTATTAAATATAACACGTGAACTTAATAATAGAATAACTATAATGTTGAAAACAAGACTTATATAATATATATATGTTTTTGAAACAATTACAATATACAATTATACTTTTACTGTTCTAAATTTCACGTTAGTACAAAGTATACTCTATAATTTCTACTTTTAACTTGACCACATTATCCACGTTACACCGATGTAACCCATGTAACAACTTCAAATTAATTTTAGGTTTGATATTGAAAAACAATTAAGTAAATTAAATAAAAAACTTATTTACATAATATTAAATTTGTATAACTACCACAAAGAATGCAGGAAAAACAGTAAAGTTTAATTTGTAAGCAACTTCGCAGAAACATTTATAATATTACCACAATTCATAATATTAGTTTATATCATTACATAATTTTAATTAATAATTAATGCAAAATAATTTCATCCTGGATAAGTTAAACGATCACCTTTATTTTTTCCTGTATTCTTCGAAATATGTACAAGATATTATTATGACAAGCTTACCTTTCGAAAACGTCTTTGACGCGTCTCTTGGAACCAGTGGCGGCAAACGATCCAGAATGGGCAGGCGACACGCTGTTGGTGGAGCTTGAGCTACCGGTTAGCGGTGAACTAGAACCGTTCGAGGACAAGCTACCTGTTCTCAGGCGAAGCTCGCCGATGGAGAAGTCTATGAAGGATGGCTGTTTTTGTTGTTGGTTTTGGCGGCGTTTCTTCTTTTTCGACGATGACGAGCGTTCTTGGTCGACCGCGACCAAAGACTGGCGACGGACAGTGGACATTTGAACGGCTGCGGGCCAATCTTGGTCTCTCTTTAGGAAACCGCTGCCACAACGGCAAGTGCTAGCCTTTACGGCCATATCCATGCCTTTCTTGCCACCCATAATATTGTTGTTGTTGATAATACTATTGTTATTGTTGTTGGACCACAAGTCCAACGGGGCTCTGGACGTTTGACCTCCCTTCAAGTACGCAGTTACCAAACGATCCCAGTTGTCGTAGCACTCTCGGTGCATGTACTGTCCGGCGGCGCAACCACCCACGCACGTTACCTTGACGTAAAGCTCGCCGGCTCTAAAATCGTCCGGGCGGACTGGCAACGAGCGCATCAGGCAATCGCCGGTGGGCACGCAACAAACGCAATCCTGGGACGTGGTGTTCATAATGAAGTTCTGTTGCTCCAACGTGCCGCAACCGATATTCATATTCACTCCGTTGTTGTTGTTGTGGGCAATGATGGGCGATGGACCGAACAGGTCGGCAAAGTGTCCGACGCCGTTGAAACCCATAGCGTTCCTCCGGGGAGCCATTCAAAAACCTCGCATTACTCTAATACGGCTGTTATATAGAACGTACAATTGAATGATACCAATACAACAGTTAGTACGCGTTGGGACGAATATAAAAAAACCGGCTTACTTTTTTTTTCTCAGACAATGCGCGCGAAAAGTGTCAAACGTAAATATTCGGCTACGCGAAACCGATCGGCGCGTGGACGCGAGAAACAAAAATAAGCAACGGATCCGACAAAATAAAAAACTTTAGAAAAAAATACGATTAAACGAGTAGTTAAAAAAAAAAACCGTCGAGTGGGAAAAAAAAAAATATAATAATAATAATAAACGATTTGTACTTCGTCACAGGTGTGCGAGGAGTGTGTGCGTGTGTCGCCCGCGTGCGGTTCAAACGACGTGCGGCCACTTTCTCTTTCGTTGACCGACTGAACGAAGCGGTGGCGTTTCGTCGTCGAGCAGTGAGCACTAGAGCACGGTTTTGGCAAGCAGCGGCGGCCACAACGCGGAGACGACGCTTTAACGACACCCGCGCGGCAACGGCGGCGGCGATGGGACTCGACGGCACGCGAGAGCAGCCAACAAAATAATAAAATATAACATGTGCCCACCCGGTTTTCGGCGAATGTGTTGTGTGTATATGACGGTCACAGTCAAGGGCAGTGGTTACGGCGGCGGCGGCTGCGGTGGTGGCGCGCACTGGTGAGCGTTGCAACGCCAAAATCTTCCCTCTCCCGTCGGCTTCTTATTTAATTTTTATTTCAGGTTAGTGCTTATTATTGGTACGGGCGGCCTGCTGCTGTACGCGGAAATAGCTGGCCCATAGTCCGTTGTTACACTATATGAGTACTATTGCCCAGTACGACCACACTGAATTAAAATTCACATTTCACAACCTAACTGTTTTCAAAAGTCAATCCGTGGGAGCGCGTAAATAAAATCGTTTTTTTCACCGAAAATTATCTTAGCCGACAATATTATTAAAATACGGTCAGAAGCACAAACGGCAGATCTGCACGCGTTTTAGTTTCTGTGCAATATATTTTCTCTTTTTGGTGCAGGTATAGATGAACTGCGCGTTCCCTATACAGGGTAATTTTTTTATCATGGGACACTATTTCTCACTGAGTTCAATTAATAAATGAATTATTTTTTTTCCATATGGTTTTAATATAATATGATCTCAGTTTTCCACAAATGATTATGTTTCTACCCCCCTCCCGAACTATATTTTTTGATAGCTACTTTTGAAACTTAAATGGTAATGTGTATATTTTTTAATCGTTTTAAATTAAGAATATTCTACTAAATTTTTGACTGATCGATAACCAGTTTCGGATAACTATTTTTGAAATTATTGAAGGTTTAAGTTTAGGGCAGGAGGAAATGTGGAGTGTAGTTTTATTTTTATCTGCGTGCATTTCCCAACCGCACTTCCCCTCCAATCCTAACTTTAAACTCTTATGACTCTAAAAATAGTTGTCCAAAACAGGTTATCAACCAATCAACATTTTTAGTGAGTTATTCTCAATTTAAAAAGTTTAAAAAATATATACGTTACCATTTAAGTTCCAAAAGTTGCTATCAAAAAAACTAGTTTGGGAGGGGTAGAAACATAATAATTTGTGGAAAATTTAGATCACATTATATAAAAAAACTATGAAAAAAAAAATTAAATTACTTATAAAGCCAAGTGAGATATTGAGTGGCCCATGATAAAAAAAATCACTCTGTATACACCCTGTTCCTGTTTACATACAATTCACATTTTTCAACGTTTTGTTGTTCAAGTATTTTACTACCAATGCGCAGTAAGATGGCGCTCACTGACAATATACAAGCCGCAGTCCACCTACGCCTATCTATATAATATTTAATAAAATCCTCCAAGTTTTCAGTGTAATAATTATTGAATAGAAATGCCTTGGCGTTGGATTTAAAATAAAATATTACTAATGGAAAATATTTGTTGCGAGAGGTACTAAGTGTATTTTGACTTTAGTAGAATAAAATATACACGGTACATTAAAAAAATGGCTAAGCTGAGGTAATATGTACACGATTAAAATGTTAGCATAAGACAAGTTAGAATAGAGCTCATATGTCTCCCATTATACTATTACTTATCAATAATCCTTGTAGAGATTAATGAATTATTATCAAAACAATCGTTAAATATATATATATATATATTCGTATAAAAAACATTGGGGAATTTTTGTTTCTATATTTTGGGGAGCGTTGTTACTTGTTGTTAATAAAACGTTGGTTGGGAAAGTATCAATGCTCTTGGGTCGTGTAGGTATGATGTAGGTAAAATATAAAAATACTACAATACTACAGGTTACCCCGAAACGCATAAATGGTCAATAGAGAGATCCACAAATAAAACATCACGACGTTTCTGAGAATCGCCACCGATAAAACATTCATATTCGTATATATTCACATACTTAACGAAGCGACACCGGAAACATTCTAAGTACGGATACTAGCCAATAGAAAGTATTTCTCATAATATACATTTAATACGACCAAAAACAGGTGAACTGTTGACTATTTTTGATGGAATTCGTTTTTTCTGAACATTTGACATTATTACTCCATCTACGATACCACACACTACAAATAAACACATTTATATATATAATCTATAATTCCATTGTACAACAAAGAATATTTTAATAAGCAATTAATTTTTATTCGTAATAACATTAACACTAAACCGTTCAATAATTCGATTTACTAATTATGGAACATCTAACTAACGGAAGGGCTGTTCTTAATTTAAGGCTATAACCCGTGGCCATTTCCTTTAAATAAGGGCTATTTTACTAATTTAAAATGATTTATTCACAATTCAATTTTGTGTCTTCTGAATACCGATTTTAAGTAATTGGGCCAAATGTAAAATGTTTTTATAATATAACCAATAATTATATATATATATATTGTTTTGCAAAAGCTTTAAAAATTTCAGAAATAATTTTTTTAATAATAAGTTGCATAAATTGGAAAAATATTTGTGTAGGGTTTATTATTTAAACTTTTCAAAAATGCTGGTTTTACAGCATAGCACAGCAACATACTCCAAAGATGGAAAATGTAATGTTTCCGAAACGTTGGCAAAACCAATATATAAGTATAACTGAAAAAAAATAGCATTTACATTTGTTTAGAATTACGAATACCCCAGTTTCTATTTAGAAGGTCAGTGAAGTTACACTAAACACATACACCTTAAAACCTCAAATGTATTAATAAAAAATGTCTACGTAAAATGGCAGAATTATTATAATAATTGTTCTATGTGAAAATATGTTTTGGTTTAAAATGTATTTTTAAAAATTAACAATATAACAATAGATTCCAAGTGGCGTACCTACTTAATTTTGCGCATTGAGTGTGAAATAATAATTATTTGTAAATGACTCGAGGGCAAACTGCAAAGACGGTCGTTCATTGCGATTTGGACGTTTTTTCCCGGTTAACGTATGACTATAGAGCAAAAATAATAACGTGACATTAGAAAGAAATCCCACACTGTATAATAGTAGACGTTTTACGTTTAACACTTCTTTATCGTTTCCTTTGAGTAGTGAATAAAATAATAATAATAAATATGAAAATATGTATATTATTACTAATGCAGAACTGCAGCTATAAATTCCGTATACTAGCACATTAATTGTATAAACTAATTTTTAAAATGCACAGCAGTATTGATAATTATATTTTCTCCCACACAATTATAATAAATGCAAATACGAGGCTCTGTGTGTCCCGGTTTTGTGCTTGGCGATTTTGGTTTGATATTAGAAGCTAAAAACGTTGTTTATCTTAACTCTTAGAAGTCTAAGTTATAATAGTGATGAACACACATAAACGCATACACGGTTCTCAATGTGCATGAAATTAAACCAATAAAAAAATAGTTATTAGTATCATTATTGTGCTGCAATATTATGAAATATTAATTTTGCTAAATACAGGGTGATTTTTTTATCATATAATATCTCATAGGGTTTAATAAGATATGAAAATGTTTATTTTCATTTTTGTTTATATAATGTGATCTACATTTTTCACAATTTTTTTTTGTTTTTACCCTCCCCCCTCCCAACAAAGTTTTTTTAAAACGTAACGTATATATATATTATCAACTTTTTCAATAGAGAATAATGTACTAAAAAATTTGGACTGGTTGGTAACCAGTATCGGATAACTATTTTTGAAGTTATTGAAGTTTAGGGCAGGAGAAAAGTTGGAGTGTAGTATTATTTTTATCTGCGCGCATTTCCTAACCGCACTTCCTTCCCATCGAACGTTTCAACTCTTATAACTTTAAAAATAGAGGGAGAGGATAAAACAAAAAAAAGTCCACTTCTACTAGCTATTCTCTTCATTCCCCCCTGATTCGCTTACTGCGCACTGCAAATAGTAATCCTGATTTCTTACTCTCTTTGTAAATTATGTAAATACTCTTGTCATTTGAACATTTTTTTTCTATTCCATTGTTAATTATGTGTAGTTATTTTTATAATCATTATTTTGTGAAATATTTAATACATGCTATATATTTATATATAAATATTAATAATCTTTGAGTTTGTAATTAAACTGTTCAAGTATTGTGTTTTGGGCTAACGCCCGTTAGTAAAATAAAAATAATAACAATATTAAAAAATCATTTCAATTTCTTATAAAACCATATGAGATATTGGGTGGCCTATGATAAAAAAAAATCACCATGTATTTAGCATAATTAATATTTTATATATTTTGTATATTTTATATGTATCGACCACATTTCTTATCCGATCGTAGCAACATACTTAAGTAAAGAACGATCAATGTTAACACAATTAAATTTAAATAATTCCTATCAGTCTCCTGAATTAAATAACGTTTATAACGTTGTTGACACTAAAAAACCCTGTATCCCGATTATACGATTTTGTACTTAAATGTATATATAATTAATATACTGTTTACCCCATTTTTTTTAAAAAAGAGATTATAATATAAGGTAGTCTTGCAAATTTAGAACTCCGTAATTTTTTCTATTTGTTTCATAATAATTTGTTTTTGTACTACTTGAAAAATATATGGTTTTTGCGTATGAAATATTTTAAAACGAAATCTAATATTTTTTAAACATGAATATTGGCTTAAATATTCGAATAATTAAAAAATATCAATAGGCCACATGTTCTTTTCCGTTTTTTTGAAAATCCTAATGCCCATCTTTTAAATTTAGAATATAGTTTTGGACTAACTTATTTTAAACGTACAAAATATATAAAATAAAATGTTGAAAATTTTGCTTTATAAACAATTTTTTATAATATTTTTTAACATCCACGCAGTGCTGAGAAGGTATTTTTTTTATATTTTATCTTTTTTTGTGTCTGGACTGCTTCTAAACCGCTGAACTGATTCCTGCAAGTAGTAAGTATGTAGATAAGATAATGTACCTAAAAGTGCAAAAAATTAAAAATCACTCTTTCCACTTGAAAATAGAAAAAAACAAAAAGTGTACATGTAC